TATCTACCATGTAACACTAATGCACTGGGAAAACTGTCTCTTGTGAGATCAGGAATGAGAAACTTCAAGTGCCTCAGGAAATGTCACACCTCTGGAAGATCTAATATTAGAGCTGCTTCCTTCAAAGAGAGGCAGATGGAGAAGAGAATTATCTGAATTGGGAAGCTGAGTTTTGTATTGCTGTAGTATTATTACAGAAACCCTCGGAGACAATATAATCTTAAAATGTTAGTATGGACATATGTAACATTTGTTTTCTTTTAGTTTGCTATCTGATGATATCTAAATTAAGGTTGGAAAGAAGCAGAATGTTCATTAAATCAGCAGTGAAACACCAGCCAGAGGACAAGTGGAAACTACAGGGAAGTGCATTTAAAACTGAGAACAGCAGTCACCTGTTCATGTGAAGGATTCTGGGAATGTCTGACAAGCTGTCCAGTCCCATGGTTGAAGCCCACAAACTGGCTATTTTCCAGAAAAGTCTGAATATGGCACGTGGATTTAATTAGCTGCTTAGTACCAAATCAGCTGATACTCCAGTGGTGTCCTCTAATCTGTAACCTTTTTGTGTGACTCCAAACTCTTTAATACATGGTTTTATATTAGATCTGAGGGACTGAGTCTGAGATAGAATTGGACATTCATTATAAAGTTTATATACTTATATATTACATATAAAGTAATATCTGATTTTTAAATCACCAATGAAATAAATAGGACTGGATAAAGATAGGGCTCAGAGGACACAGATATCACAGTGCCCTCAAGTACAGTATGGGCTACTGCTTGGCAGAAGACTGGGTAGCTTCGAGGGAAATGTGCCTCTGTCCCCTGGCTAACCTTGATTCTAGCTTGCCTTCTGCAGTCTGTCCCAATTCAACTGTTGGCTTGATGTGTCGGTGAGAAAGAAACACCTTGATAAGAGGACAGACTTAGATTGAGGTTAATCCTACTTTACATTTAGCTCAGAGACAACTGAATGTTTACAGAGCTATGCATTTTGCAAACAAGATTTCCCTTCTGTTTTCATCGCAGGCACATTTATTTCTAATGATTATTATTTTTGAGCAATCAAAGGATTATAAACAAGCTTCTCACATCTGTACAGTGAGAGCATTTGAGCTTGTTAGTCTCTCAGTAATTCTTCTGTTGACAGATGGCCTGCTGAATTGAAAAACACTGTAGAATTAACATGCCTTCAGTGAAAGATCTGCCTTATGTTTTAACCTCTGTACAGTTTACAGTTACTGTCTGCTGCTGTGTTCGCTTGTCTGTTCCAGCAGTACTTAAATCAAGGTCTGACTGAATGCTGTTAATTGTAATGGTAGAGGTATTTTCTGCAAAGCCTCATGATTAATGTTTTAGAACACTCATCCGGGCTAGGGAGTCTGGGAAATTGAAATGGTTTATCACGTTGTTCACTGCATTTAATAACCATGGCTAACTTCCACTGTAAGAAAATTAGCCTTCCAAAGGTTTAGTGCAAGTTAATTTTGACATTAACATTTTACATATGGTAAAGGACATTCAGATGTAACAACTATTTATGGTAATTAATTGTTGTTTAAGTGCAGTTTAATTTAGTTTAAAAAATATTGCTCCTAAAATAATACAGTGCATTCATTCTTTATTTGAATGCAGTCTTAAGTAACCCTCAAAACAACTTCACAGAGCCTACAGTATGTATAATACACAATAGACAACATTATTATGTGTTAGGGTCATGAACAGGGTTATATCTATTTTTGTCCAAAAATTATGGCAGTATAAGGAATTTAGAATATTATAGCATCATATGGAGCTTCTATGAAGTCAGCTTTCTGGCTACATCAACAATAACTTATATGGCAGTAATTATTATTGAGTATCAATCAATCGCAGCAAATTATGGCTAGGTAGCCATCTACTGGAAAAGTGGTTTAATACAAATATTCTGATAATTTTTATACCATTTATTGCATTTATTAAATTAGTAAAACAGGATAGTTATTGAGGTGGAGTGTTTTATGAGTTGGAGGAGATTAATGCATATGTCTGTATATATTACACTTTCTATAACTCTTTCAGATTACATTACAGATTCACATGACCATGCTGCCATTTTCAACATTTCAGCAATTTTATCTTGTTTCCTAATTTTGTGTTGCTGCTCCATTTTAATTATTGACACATAAACCCATTCAGATCTATACAATTGCTGATATATATTAACACATATTCTTTGAAAAAAGCAATAACAAAATATAATTAGACCTATAAAAGATAAAACATAAAAAAAATAACTTTTCCACCTTAGTGCAGGCACACAGTCTTTCTAGCTACTGTGAGTGGCATACAGACTGCCACCTACATAAGCCCGAAATTACTGGACATTGTGCACAGCTTGCAGCAAAAACTCAAGTATTGTTGATATTTTCAGAAGTGATCTGAGTGACAACATACTGTCAGTAAAAGGGCACACCATGGGTTCACATTAATGGGACAGGCAACTCATAATGTTTTAAACTATTTGGGACGGAACTCATTTTTGCTGGATGTTTTTTTAAGTGTTTTTTTAAATTGATTTTTGATAAAGAGAAAAGTGCATTATGCTTCTTTTTCTTTGTCCACAGAGAATACAACTTGCACCGTAGATGCATATAGTAGATGCATATAATTCGTTCAATTGATTGTGAGATTTTCAGAATGATTAAATGAAAAACACAAAATAAAAATCCCAATCCAGGCCAATAAGCAGTTACAGGCTTAAGGAAATTAAATTGCAAAGTGTGACCTGTCCAAATTTTAAACCTTAGCAATACTGTAGTATCAATTCACTAAGGAAATGTAAACTCCATGCGGCAGTTTAAACCTATTCTAAAAATATAAATGCATTGTTTTACTATATTGTTATACAAATTTGCTGAAAAAGTGTATAATTTAATTCTTGTATGTGTAAGTAAATTATGTTTTTTTTATAGTGACAACATACTGTAAGTTAAAAGGCACACCATGGGTTCAAATTAATAGGATGATCGATTATTTGATTGATATATGTATGGTATCTCCTTTCCTAACCTGAAATGTAGCAAATGCATAAAGACGTATTTGCATCTTTAATGCTTTTACAAGCCTGAGTTCACAAGTAATTGTCCTCTTCCTCAATGTCCCCGTCCTCCTCAAAGCCCAAGGCCTCGATGTCATGCGTGATGTCCGTGATCATTCTGTTGAAGTCCTCGGAGCCCGACCGCAGAGACCAGCTGTCGTAGCTGCGCACAGCGGATGCGGACGTGTTGCTCATGCTTCGCTTGATGCGCCCGAAGCTGTCCGTCAGAATCCCGCCTTCTCGTATCCCAATGCTTTCTAGGAAGCTCTCGAACACGCCCACATCTTTGTCTGGGATGAATGGCCTCATTCCTAAATCAGGGTTTGAAGGACAAAGCACACACAAAAGGTGATGATACAGCCATTGTCCTGATGTTAGAATCTTTTTAAGATCAGCATTCTATGGATAGAGCAGAAAGAAAGTTCCCCCCCCCCCACAGATGTTTACATTGAAAAGTTTTGATTTTCCTGTAAGAACATGGAAATAGTTTTCTTGCTATGGGCTGGATAATGTAAATCAGGCCATTTGGGTTTTTTCCCCCGGCTGATAATGTCAGAGTCATAAGCCATGCCCGGCGAAATTGGCAGTAGAATTAACCATGTAATCCTCTTACCTAAAAGAAGGAACTTCCTTTTGTCTCCGTACAGTTGGAGTAGGTCTGAGCAGAACTCCTCGATGTGGGCTCCCATTCTGTACTCGCGCAGCAGGAGGGCAAACTGCTGGATTTCCGGAGGGCTAAGCTTACTCCTCAGCTTAAGAAGTATAATAACGAGAACGTGTTATTAATTGGCCATGCAGAGCTCCTGCTTAATTACTAGAGCAGCCAGTGTTGCAATAGAAAAGTGAGGGCATACAATGTCAGATGTATTTCTCTAATCCCTTAAACCTTCTGGCATTATTTTATAAAGCAACTCTCTGGGTATTTAACCCACATGCCCCTAAGTTGACATGCACATTCTCTTTGATGGTTTACGCATCAAACGTTTTATTGGTTCAAACAAGCGCCCAGCCTTCCCCCTGATGGTAAATTGAACACCTGGACCCATTGTGCAGGTACAGTCGCAGGAAACTAATCCTGGTGCTCAGGCCCAGGAGCAGTGAAGGGGACCTTTCCACTTCAGATGAGGACCCTCCCAGCCAGCACGCGTTCTTTCTTACGGTTATCATGTACTCCTGAAGCAGCTGCACCTCTACGCTGCTTTGCTCACTCTCACTGTGCAGGGAAGCCAGGCTGTGGTGCGACTCCCGGAAAGAAGAGCCCTCACTGTAGTTCTCACTGTAGTAGGGGTCAAAGGTCTCCTGAGAGCCATTACTGTAGGACAGAGGGAGACAGATGTAAAAATCCTGCTTCTTGCAGATTTCAACACAATATTGTTACAGGCTGAGGTAGATAACAACCGCGGGTCTCTCTAAGAATCTAGACTCAATGGGTTATACCTAACTAGTGTCAATATTTCCACTTCCTAGCGCTTCAAACCGAGGGATGTTTACTTCTTGTGCTGGGTGTGAGAAATGCTGATCAAAAGAATCTTCGGGTTTACCTTAGTTAATTCAATTCTGGGTAAATGATTAAGTGTCAATCAACAGTCCAGAAAGAGACTGTATATGAGCAGGCCAAGACAGAGGAAGGGGAGAGAAAACAGAAAAGGAAGGTCAGACCACATGAGACAGAGGAGACAAGAGACAGAACTTGAAGCTGGTGCCAGGCGAGAGTCCCTTCTTCATGATCTGGAAAAAACCCGATTGTAGCCAGGTATTTGAATCTTGTAAGAGAGCTTACAATTCTGTAGCTTTTAGGGAACTTGAAGTTCCTAAATGAAGAATCCCTCCCTTGATCTAGTTTAAAACTGCCGTTCCTGGTTAGTGAGGCATTTTAGAACAGGGAGAGAGGCTACCATTTATTTTGTGGCATCAGAGTTAGAGAGAGAGATTTAATTGTAGGCTGTATTCTATTTAGTTAAAAAGGCAGTCTATCTCGTTTGGCCTCTGTAGACATTATTTAAGAGTCCAATACTTGGTAGCAGCCTGGGGTTCTCTGGGTGGTCTCGATGTTGGTCTCTGAAACAACATGTCTTTTAACTTGTGAATACGGTATCTTGTGTTTGTATTTTTAGGTTGTGTGTAGTGTATTGTGTGTGTCTGTCACTGTTAATAAATATTTCACCAAAGCTGTGCCAGAGAACAAAGAATTCACATGTCTATATTTGTAGAGGTTTTGATAACTTATTTTACTTATTGACTAATCCATTCGGTCATTTCCTGATTTTTCTCCCTTTCCTTAACCTCTCCATTTACAGTAAGTATAACAATATGCTTCATGCCCAAGGTGTCTTACACCTGTGACCTCAGATTTCAATACAGAAAAAAACAGTATAAGATGATTTTATAAATCTGATTTCCAACCACTGAATGGCAGTAGGTCAAAATTGTTTTTTTTTCTTAGAATCATTACTGCTGCTACGGCCTGCTTTTATGATGAAAGAAAGTTTTTAAGTAAAACAAAGAACTAATCTGAAATGAGGTTTAAATTCTAGTGGGAGCATTTAAGTGTTATTCTGGTTCTTCACTGAGATTGCCACACTTGGAAAAGGAGTGCAGAATAATGCTGTACAAGCCAGGAGGGATCTATAACTTTCAGACAAACTGAAATTTATACGCCCATGCCTGGCACCACAGGACACTGTGATTAAACTGTTTTTCAGGCATCACACATCTTCCAAAACACAATTCAATTATTTCCCCGAGTGAGCTGTATCAAAGGAGGAACGACACACAGCAAAATAAAATAAATGTGACATTTGCAACCCAGTGCTGTGTCTGTAGCCAACATTTCCATTTGATTTAACATGAAACTCACAAGGAGCTGCAGCAGCTGAAATCCGCCTCATAACCGTAAGTCATATCTGTGAGGCAGCTGTCACCTGGGAAAACAATAGAAAGAATCTGTATATTATAAAGAGGGGCAATACTATTTCTGCTTCTTTCTGAAACTTTTTCATACATGGATACTGGCTCTTTCACCAACACAGATTCCATTATGGTGGAACCAAAACAAATTAATACTCATTGTGTGAGGCTGTGCTTTCTAAACCTGTGGCCATAGACCCACTGTGAACCTTGGATAGGTCTCAGGTGTGCTGTGGAATCAGAATAGATTATATGTGTAGGGGAACACAGGAGCAAATGTAGGAAACCTACTGTAAGCAAACACAGGGAGAATACTGTATACAAACTCCATGCAGATGCAATTCCCAGGAATTGAATTTAGAGCCCTGGCACTGTGAGGCACCAGTGCTAACAGCTGTGCCACTGTGCTAGCTGGGAAGTCAAATAATTCTTATTAAAATTGTAGTCAATGTTTCAGTTTAAAATAAATGTTATTTCTTGCAATTTAAGTGCTCAATAGTTGTCTATCATTGGTGTGTCAAAACCTGGGATGCACAAAGTGTGCTTCGGGCTGAAAATGTTTTGGAAAGCGCTGGTTTAGGGCATGCATTCCAGTGGAGTAAATCAACCAGGAGTGAATAAAAAAAACTGCAAAGCCCTTCTATACACTACAAATTCAGAAATAGGCCACTTGCATGTCATCCAGGATACATTATCTGAGTACCAAATGGCAGCCTTGTAAATAGTTTTGAGTGGGGAGCTGCATCAGTTCAGGCTGCACAGAAACAAGTAAAGGTAAATTCCACAGTAAGAAATACAAAGAAGAAACAACAGTTCAGCTGCTGAGCCTTCCTTAGGTGTGAATATGCATCCTTGTAATATCCATCTTTCATTCACTATACAGTGCAAATACAACACATGTCAGTGTTGCCAGACTCACACCAAAGTGGAAACTTACTTCTCTGCAGCCAGTAACTGTCTGGAGTGGAGGTATAGTGGTATCCTGCCCGATCCACACACTCAATTGTCTGATCACCATAGATTATCTGGAAAACCTGGCAAATAAGTGCACAGTATTCCTCCGCAGCATCCTGAGAGGTTCACACAGAAAATAAAAGACATTGATCATCAACCACAATGATAAGGAAAACACTGTACTCTACCTTAAACAGAGATCCATGTCATAAATTATCCACAGCTTTGTTCTACATATCACATAAGTGATACATGTCAGCCTGCAATTCACAACTGACAACTGAACCCACTGAAGCTCAGTAGGTGTGAGCCTGACCAGTACCTGGATGGGAGACCTCCTGGGAAAGCTAAGGTTGCTGCTGGAAGAGATATTAGTGGAGCCAGAAGAGGGTACTCATCCTGCAGTCTGTGTGGGTCCTAATGCCTCAGAATAGTGACGGGGACACTATACTGTAAAAAGGCGCCGTCCCTCAGATGAGACGTAAAACTCTAGCCTTTCCCCTCTATCCTTTACCAATCATATCCTCCTAATAATCTCCAACTGTGAACAGGCTTTATCACTCAGTTCTCTCTCCTACTGATAGCTGGTGTGTGGTGAGCGAACTGACACACTTTGGCTGCTGCCGCATCTTCCACGTGGGGGCTACACATTGGTGGTGGTAGTGGGATTCCCCATTACCTGTAAAATGCTTTGACAGGAGTGTCGAGGAGAGCGCTATATAAGTGTGGGGAATTATTATGAGTATTAGTACTAGTATCATTATTATTATCTCATTTAACTGAAAACTCACCCTGTTTTCCACTGCCAAGATCACCAAGTTACAGTACGCATCTGGGCATGGAGTTGGCTTCAGAGGGTCCAGAGGGTTAATGCCAGCATTCCTTCTCTCCCAGCTGCCATAGGACTTGCCCCGCTCCCAGCTCCCACTGTAAGCCTGCCTGCGTTCCCAGCTACCTCCACAAGTATGCTTCCTTTCCCAGCTTCCCCCAGGCTTGCCTGCGTGTCTCCTTTCCCAGCTGCCCCCCACACTGGCTGTGTTCCGTCTTTCCCAGCTCCCGCTCATTGGTCTTCTGTCCCAGCTGCCTCCTGACTTCCGGGTTTGCCTTCTCTCCCAGCTGCCCCCAGCCTGCTTCCGCTCCAGGCTCCCCCCTGGGGCTTTCACCTCCGAGCTGCTCCCGGCCAGTTTCTGCTCATGCCTGCCAGACATCTTCCAGTCCACGCTGCAGATCGTGTGTCTGCGTTCCATAGTGCCCCCCGCAGGACGCCGGTCCATGTTGCTGACAGTCTGCCTCCTGCCTTCGATGCCCTGTTTCCTCTCCAGGCTGCCACTAGGGTGCCTCCTCTCCAGACTGCCCCCTGCTGGCACAGGGTCCACACCAAGCCCTGTAGATTGTAGGCAATGAGCTGTGGAAGCTGCAGTTTCATGTTATATAAAGATCAGGATACAATAACATAAGCTGTATTAAACCTGCTTGCTTCAGATAATGTAAAGTCAACTATAATGGAATAACATTCACAGGTATTTCTCATGAAAGACTGAAGAAGGAAAGTATCTACTAATTTGTGTATTTGTTCTTTTAAAACTTAATATGTAATGCAGGAATGCATTGTGTTTTACTGCCTTTTTAAATTTTAACTTCCTAAAGGTTTTTATCATATATTAACAAGCAAAAATGGGATATATTCCTTTTTCAATTCTAGTACCATATTTGTTTGCAAACACCTAGCCTGGAAAATAGGTGTCACATGTAAATTGCGTCTGCAGAACCTGTTTTCAGCACTAGGAGGTGCAGCGAGTCATCGCGCAGGTAAGAGGCGGCTGCGATCTCGTGGGTGGGGATGCGCAGGATGAGCTCCTCGTTGTCTCTCCAGGTGAGCAGCAGGCAGCGGGCCGACAGACTGAGGATGCTGTCTTGCTCAGGGGTCGTCTTCAGGGGCAGCTCCTTCAGCTTCTGCAATCCCATCACCGCAGTCAGAATCCCAGGCAGTGGTTTTGGAACTGTCACTTTTGTGATCAATTTACCTTTTGTTCCTACTCTGTGGCTAAATACATTTAAGATGGTCAATTTTTTATCTATTTATACCCACCCGATCTGAAATTGACAGGTCTGTTCTTTATGTCTCTGCTAACAGGAACATAGGCAGGCTCTTCCAATCTCCCCACCAATTGGACCTTTCAATTTTTAATACATTCTAATCTGCACAGCAACCAACAGAAGGACAAGTTTAATCCCTCGCCAAGGTACCTGCAAGCTTGAATGAGACTGAGAATTAACAGTGATTGCTGTTTCATCAGGAACCGAGAGAGTCCTGCCCAACTAATCCCCATCCGCTTGCAGAATCCCCAGTTCAAATTGAGCTCATTGTATGTGGACCTTTGGGGCTGGCCAGGGCTTGGAGAAAAGCCCTCACGGTTGATTCAAACACAATGGATGGATGGAATTTCTTGAGATATCTCTGTATTGTTTGCATCAAGCATTTGCTTTGCTCCCACATGGTCTATATCCTCTTTTAATACAGTATATCTATTTATGGTTTATTGTGCTGATGCCATCATTTTCGCATTTGCCCCAACACTTTGTCCTGCTTCTTCCATGGAATAACTTGAGAAAGATTTACACAGGATCATAAAAATAGGTAACAAGTTCATTGCATGATGTTACTCCTGATGATTTTAAGCAAAAATCCCAAATAAATGGGATGACTAAATACTATTTTGTTTTTAGTATTTAGGATTGGTTTAGTGATCTGAAGTGAATATTAAAGATAGACTATCTTTGCCCTATTAATCAGGCATGTAGTGACAGCGCATGGAGCGTGAAATAAGGCTGTAATGTAGGAATAACATATTTATACTAATGCCAGAAATCCTAGCAAATCTAGCAATAGATGTAAAACCAATCTCTTATCTTATATTTCATTCTTGCCATATATCTGTCTGAAATTGCTGGAGTTGCTTAATACCGATGCATTATGGAAATACATCCCATCCACTAAAACGCTGCCTGTCCTGGTGAGGACAGTGGCAGGAAACATGCAACAGGAACAGAACATGAACAGGAGCAGAACCTCACACAGAGGGATGCCTGAGGCCAGAATCAAGCTCAGAAATGGGAGGTTGTACAGAGTGACACTAACCGCCATGGCAATCTCCCATATCCATTCATCCATTATTTAAACTGCTTCATCCAACTCAGGGCCACAGGATACATCCTAAATGGGATGCTTTTCACACCAGGGCCAATTTTCCCAGAAGCCAATTAACCTCCCAGTATAGTTTTGGATTGTGGGAGGAAACCACAGGTGAACTAGGGGAGAACATTCTAACTCCGTGCAGACAGCACCCCAGGAACTGATCCCATGGCCCCAGCGCTGCAAGGCACTGTGTCATCCTGTCACTGCTCTCCCATATCACTTCCTGGAAATATCCAAAGAGTTTAAAAGCCATCTGACATTACATAAGGCCAATGGTTGATTTCCTGATCTTTCTACACATACCCTGGCTGTGTCAAGAAGCTGCAGAAGCTCATCTCTGCTAGAGGGGTTCAAAGAACATGACACCCAGGTCAAATGACCTAGAAACTAAAGAGAAAAGAGGCATTTAAATGATCAAAACACAAGATTTCCAAAGATTTTTCTTAGAAGTTATACCTGAAAGAAAGATCAAATACAGTATTGAAAGCATTAGCGAAAAAGGGCTTGAACTATGAACTCCAACTGTGTCAACAAGCATTGAACATTTTGCAGGCAGTCTACAATCTAGAATCCCCTGTGTTGAGGGCTTAGGCTAAAGGCTATCCATCTTTCCTGGCAATAAAGATAAGACCTTAAAAGGAGAGGATTCAGGGAAACCAGTCTCTCACTGCACAGTCCAAGGTTCAGCCAAAGAAATGTACCTTAACTTCCTTCTCTACATAGTCATGAAGGAGCCGCTCAGGATGGATGAGGAAATCAGGAGGATAGAGAGGGACAGAATGCAGGGGCCTTCTGTACAGGCTGCTCCTGTCCGCCTGCTTTCGTGGAGTCTTTGGGAAAACCAGTCGTTTGATTGGAGACACAAATCCCTGGGAAGCAAGATACAGTTACTCCCACCCCCAGCCAGGAACAGGAGGAATATTGATCTGCATATCGGATTACAGGAAGAGAGTATGTACTCTTTGTCTCTCTTTGTTTCATTTCTTGCTCCTAACATGCACTATCTCAATGCGGACTGATTGATTCAAGAATCAGGAATTATTGGGTTTGTTTGGAAATGGACATGCTTCGAGCACTTGGATAACTACACAGTATGCCAGTCTGGTGCTGGATGGATGGTAATCTCAGATATTGAACAATTCTCTAACTTTATTTCTATTTAACACTTCACCTGTATTTGTTCACCAACCAGCAGTGGGCTACAAATAAAGACAATATCCTCTTGGAGCTGTTCATCTTAAAGAGTAGAGTAGGGGCGTCAATGATCTTCCCTGAATCTACTGCCAACTGAGTACATTAATAATACTTAGTTATGCTCTTTCAGTGCAATAATACGAGTCAAATAGAGCAGGGGAATAACAAAGATGATAAATGCATCACCCTGGCTAAAAAATCTCATCAGTTATTAAAAATGAAACAGCTGGTTTTAAGATGAATTTGTTATATGTGTTTTGTGTATTTAGACACAATAGAAATAAATGGTGTTATAGCATGGACATAATGTTGCCCACTAAATGGAGTAAATCTGTACTGATCAGGTTCACAAACTTGTATCAGGCAGATTATTGCCACATGATAAATACCATGAGTTTTGGGGAATTTTTCTTTATAATGAATTCATTTTTTAAAGATATACTTTTTGCATATTATTCACAGAGGATGCAGGAGTGAAACTAACTGCAATTAGTCAAGGAAGAGTAATTGCACTTTCAAATTATGTTAATCACATCAAAATGACCCATGTACAGTGTTCTGGGCAACATTTAAGATTCTGACTTTAAAAAATACATTAATGAATCAGATCACTGAGTTATTACAAAACATAAATTTTGGACTTTAAATGTCTGTTACCTTCTCAGCTTGGGGACAAACGAAAAAGATTCTAGATTCGTAAGACTTGGTTTCCAAAATTTATTTTTTTTAACTGAAAAGTAATAATATATTTTTCTCTCTGTAGACCAATGTTTGCCTATTATTTTCATTGATTTATTTTTTTGCTTGAACACAAAACTTTTATATTAAGCTATTATCGGAATTGTGTTTTGAAACTGTGAAACGGTTTTTGATGAACAGAAAGCTTGGTAGAAAAAATACAAAAATACAGGATGGGAAAAATCACAATGAAAAATAAAAAACATAAAACCAAAACATTAAACAATATTTTTTTGCAATGTGTATTTTGTTCCTTTAGAAGAATGCTTTTGATCAACTGATTAAAAAATAAAATTTTATTGAAAAATCTGCCTTGTGACATCCACACCTGCCCTCAATATAGAAGTACACAAGACCGTTGTGGAATTTCTTGTTGATATAACATGACAATACACAGACAAGAGACATTTTTGAAGGAAATCTCAGAATGGACAGACTGATACAAACAACTGAATTCACTGTTCCACAAGCCCAAGTTGCCCTAAATGGATCTACAGTACTTGATGAGGAAAAAAGTCAACCTACGGCCCAATACTGGAAAAATTAACGAAAACTTCCCAAAACTGCCGTTTAGCTCTGATCTAAGCTACAAAAACAACAACAATGCTTAAATCTCACCATAATCACTTCACAGGAAACTGAAGATGAGCTTAATTACAGCTCCAAAGTCTCACTAAAGCGCTAAGGTATACCAGATGTTCTACTGTAACAAAAGTCTACACCTCTACAGAAGAGAGGAAGACTTACCTTTTTTGCTTTTTTGTGCTCATATTCCATTCCTTCTCCCCACTTTTATTGAAGTGGTGCAGCTGCCTCTCTCGTTCGGGATTTGCTGTGGTGTGTACCCATTGGGAGGTCTGCTTGCCATAGAGGAAGCTCAGCTTTCCTGTGCGAGAGGAAACTCCACCAGAAGTCCTGATATAAACTTGGGTTCAGCTTCCATTCTCTAGGCTGCAAATCTGCAGCACACAAAGCAAAGTGTTTTTCACAAAAGCCTGAGATTCTAATGAGGTGAAAACCAGGGTGAAAACTATTGCAGTCTGTGCACATCTCATCCAGTGGCAGTAATTCGTCTGTTTGGGGGCAAAATAGCGTCGTCTTAATGGAAACAAATTATTTGGGCGGAACTATTTAAATAATTGTGCATGAAGAACGTGAAAAAAGAGCATAGTCTGTGGCAAAAGCTTTTTTTTGTCAAGTTTTTAGTACAGGTAAAAAAGAACCTTTTTCTCACACAGTGTGTTGTAAAATCCCAAAAGTTAAGAAACGTTTTCTTTGTCTGGTGGTTGCCAGCTATGTTTTTTTTCTGAGTTTGAAAACCTGTGTAGCCAAACAGGATAAAGCCAACAAGTCCAAGAGTGACATGTAGTGCAAGGGAAAAGACCAGAGTTTTGTTGTTATCCTGATACTTCTTCATTTGACATCTTACTGTATGTGAAGGGTGATATGAGTAAAAAATGTTTTTTTTAAAAATTAGAATTCAGTTCAAGATTTTATAACTGATATCACTTTACCGTATATCCTATGAAATGTAAACTGCTTCAAAAGTCCGGTTGCAAAGATGAATGTTTAAACCATCTTTTGCTGTTTGTATTTAATAACACAGTACCTCCTGTGACCACTAGATGGGGAGCGAAATGCTTTCTAGCCGTCATTCTTGGGCCAAGTGTAAAACTTTAAAAGACTCAAAAACAACACCTCTACAATGCTAAGATTTTGTTAGGAAGCAATCAGGCACATGGAATATTTACTGTAATGAGACTGTTTATTGGAAAAAACATTGTAAAGACAAGCAGAAAATAATTGTCTGTCCAAGTTAATGGGACGTCACAAGGTTCCCGTTTGCGTATTTTTGCCTTCTTAAACTTTGAGCGTATTTGATTCTCCTGCTTGCAAATCACTGCTCCTAACCTGTGGTGTTTAATCCCTGTGTAAGGGATGCCATCAGGGACTTCAGTAATCAGATGGAAGTTATTTGAAATAAAACAGGTTTTGATTTCCTTTAAAGGCTTTGATTAAAGCAGAACCTCAGCCTACCCACAGATTACAAAATAGGTGAAGTCCCTCAATCATTATTTCATTGAGTCTTGTGCTGAATGCAACATGCAATTTTTTCATTTGATGGAGGCTATTGGTTTACTGCAGGTTTCTTACATCCGTCTAGTGACAGCAGCGTGAGCCACCTTGGAGTCTGATCTTGTCAGGTAACAGAAGATACAGTATGCAAAGCTGGGTCTGGCCAGATCAGCACTGGGATGAGGAGACCTCAGGGAAATACGAGGTTACTGCTGTCAGTGGTGTTCGTGACCTGGTAGGTGGTATTCTTACCTTTGGAGCAAAAGTTCCAAATCCAGTGCCTCACTATTGTTACATGCAACACTGTATGAGGTACTGTCTCTTAGATGAGATTCTGACCACATGGAGCTACTTTGTAAGAGTAGGGGCATTAACCCTGGTGTTCTGGCTTAATTGCCCTCTGGGTTTGAATAATTTGACCTCCCTAAATTTCGCTGTTTACTTAATTGGCTAAAGCTATTACCCACTTCTCCACCAGACCTGCTGTAGAGTGAGGCTGTGGGTATAGAACTGCTGCCATGAGTCACTCAGGTAGGTGCTACATTCCAGTGAGGGGTGAAGTGTGCTTCCCTATTTTTTTGGAATACTCTTTGTGATCCTTTGGGATGAAAACCTTTATACAAATTCTTATGGCTAATTATTGATTATTATTGGAAAGTTGCATTCAGCTGCTGGGACTATAACCTTTGCCTGGCAGGTCGACGTTATCATTTAACTGCTGCCTTGGTCAGAAAGAGCAACAAGAAATATGAAAATGTATGTAAACTTTTTACAGTATGTCCACTATGTGGTCGAAACTACAGATTTTTTTATCTGTTTTAGTTTACAGGTGCAGTTGAAAATCCTTCATTTGCAATGTTATTCATATATTCATTTAGAATAATAACCTAGTTTATACAACTATAGTTGTTTGTCAATTATATTGTTTTGAATATTATGTGCTAGTTCAGCCTTGTAAACTCTAGCAAAAGAATTCTGGTGGATGCAGTGTGGTTAGAAAGGGGGTGTCAATACTGTGTCTGCAATCCCTAAGATATTGATGGTGTTGTAGTTTTTTAAACTACATTCCTTCTTATTGGATATCTATCATCTGGTTCTAGAGGTGAGTTTATAGATCGATAATCCTTCCCCAATTTTCTTTGTTTAATCCAGAGAAAGAGATCAGTAATGATGATGGATTTTAAAACAATGTATTTGTTTCATTTTAAAGAATTCTAGCACGACACAATGTAGAAAATAACACAGAAATGTTTGAATTGCTGGCTATACAACAGCACTAATCTGCTTTTTTCTTTTTTTGTTTACTAGGAAATAAATAGAAAGACAAGGTTAAAAAGCTATACAAAAAATAACAGCTGAGGTAGATAAAAAATTACATAAAAAACAAATTCAAATTCATATAAATAAATCAATATATCCACATGGCACATTTACAATCAACCATATTTTTACAAACAGTGTTAGGAAGAATATATGAAAATGACAATGTGCCAACATACACCTTTTCATTTTGCCAGATACAATAGAGAAGTCAGAGCATCAAATGAGAGACCACACTTCTGTAATAACCATGGGTTTGCTAAACATTTTTTTACGGCAATGAAACATTTCTCTGTTGCTTTTCATGCTGCAAGATACAAAAAAATATTTTCAAGGCATCATGAAAGCATACTATGTTGGATGTTATTTAAAAGTGAGAATGGAGATACAGAATAAACACATTTTGAAATGTTTTTATCACTGGAATTTGAGAATTTGAGAACAAAGAATTGCATTTTAAGTTGCCTTGACCAAATGTTAAAGTCAAAGGCCTAAGCAGGTTGTCACAACTAAATCTTTTGACTTATTAAGAATGCCTGCTGATTGATCATAAGCACAACTGTACATTTCGCAAAAGTTGAGGCAAGTTCACAGTGATTCTTGACTACAGTATGCTTGTAAAGTATGTGACTTTAATTTGCAAATTTCTTATTTTTCAGCTCCTGTCAGCACTGCAGGCATCCCATTTTAAAAACCTGACCTTACAGTTTGTTATTTTTGAAAGCTTTACAGATAATCATTTAAAGAAAAGGTTGTATGTTTTGCCAGTGGGCTTCAGCAAGAAAAACACGAAAAAGTAAACCTGTTGTAATGGCAGAATGACAAATTATTTTGTTTGATATTATTTGCGGGGGAAAGAGAATGTGAACCTTGGCAATGTCAGGTAATGGCTTTCCAAAATTTCACAGAGGGAGATTTACTTTGACGCTTGCTTTAGAAACGTCCGTCTCACCAGCTTTAGTGTAAATTACAGGCATGGTATCCTGTGAAATTTCTCGGAGTTTTGAGGTTGGAAGTCTTATAACAGTTGAATCTATTGCTACAGATTGGCTGTAAAAACGTACTTGTACAGTGACAGGTAATAAAAGCCATTAATAACTAGGAGCTTCTGAAGTTCTTGTGTTCTGAGAGAGGAAAATAATTTGCAATGATATGACTCTAACTGTATGTAGAAAAAAAGGCATATCTTTTATATTATAATAATATTCTACTTCATAAATTATTGCCTTTTTCCTTCTGAAAACACAAAGGTATAAATTGTATAACACAATTTATGTGCCACAACAATGAGAGTGACATTATTGATTATTTGTATAATACTTAGGTGTCCTAGGTCCTTCCCCAATAACCCAGTTCCTACTGATATTTGCTCTATTTGAGCTCTCAGTTTGATCTTAATTATTTAACTGAACTGATTAAGAGGTTAAGATGCCTCTTATTAACTTTATTGGATAGTTGTTTTTTGAACTTGCAGGACACTGAAGACTGGAGTTCATCCTCTTTAAAAATGATCCGAGACTGTGTTTCTCTGTCCAGAAGAGGGCGCTCTTTAACGTCTTTTCTCATAACCTTGAGAGGGGAGTGGTGGAAGCTCAAGCAATGAGGACAAGGTCACAGGAGAGGATTATGTCTGTGCCACCACTAGAGGCTTTCCCACTGCTCCCCTCAGCTCACTTTGGGTGCAGATAGGTTTTCTGAACCGCTCGTTACCTTGTTTTAAACACGTCAAGGTTTATTCCATTCCAGAGAGAAAGGAGAAGAGACACAAAGCTTCGGCTGTGAAGTCTTCATCAGATCTTCCATATCTAAGTCCACGGTTGAAATATTGTGTCTCTTCTCTTTCCTTTTCAGCATGGAATAAACCTTTACACGTTCCTTAGCAGCCTACGCATGCTGACGCAGCTCCCTGCTTGTTTTAAACATGCCCAATGTGAAATATAGAATCTTACCTACCACCTTCACTCCACCCCAACAACAAGGCTGTATTATGCTCTGCTTACTGTGCCTACTGTGGCTAGGCCCTGTGAAAACTAAAGAGCCCATGAAAGAAATGACCTTGTTTTTTACTTGTATGATAAAACCTTTAACAAAAAGTTTTTTTTCTGGAATAAATATGTATATAGCAAGGATAAGCTATCCAAAAAATATTCAATGTCATTTTGACCACCCATTTACCAATAGAAATTGATACACTTATAAACATACCTCTACCAAATGGCCTAAGAAAGAGAAGTGCCTACAGGGCCCACAAGGGCATTAATCCGACCCTGCTCCACAGAACGTAATTGAAAATAGACCCGAAAATAGAAGACAAGTGTTCTTATCAGAGCCCTTTCTTCAAAGCACTGGACAATGAGAAAACCTGTTTGCTAACGGCTATATTTAAAATGTTTCAGCTTCCTTATTTAGCGCTGCACTCAAAAATGTTATTTCCTACATAAATGCATTGGTCGTTTTATTGAACACTTGTTTCTTTGCCACAAACTGAATTAAAGCTATTCTGAATAATACTGAAACCTGAACACACTAACACTCGGATTCACAGCTGTGTCTATCCATGTAATGTCAATTGATTACGATTCAGTTTTATTGAAAGATTATGCAGAAAAAAAATCAATTAGGCTGAAGTTAAAAATACAATTTAAGGACACTGGATGAGTTTTGTAGTGAAAAAGTAATTCTAAATAAAGCACTGGTATTGGAGGCATACATTAAGTTCTTTATTAACACAGTATCAAAAAGGGGACATTTTTAATGTAATTTAACCTTTAAAACCTATATGTCTGGTAGTGTTTGTTTCTCATGCCTAAAGGATTTAGTTAAGCTATGGGTGGAGAATTGCTTGAACTCTGTAAGTTGAGTATTAGAACTATCAATCATCAAGATATTTATTGCATATGTGTAATATGAAGGATATTATTATTATTTTATATAGTCTTTTTCATGGTAAGAACAAATACCTTAAAAGTGATCACAGACTTAATAACACAGATTGTGGGCATTAAAGATGAACTGACAACATTTTTGATTTGAAAAAATTAAACACCTTTGTGCTTCATCTCCATCTTTTGACCTTCACGTTCCCGAATAAACCTGTTGAGGTTCTTTAAACTGATTTCATCATGCATTTCCATACAATAGTTTTTGCGTCTTGTTCTCGAAGTGGGTGTGATTTTTATGACAAGTGAAGCCTGAGCTTCCCCATGCGCAAGCAGGATGTTTGGTTAAAATCACGATGCTACGCGAGTAAGCAAGAGACTGGCCAGTGTTCTATTCTCTGTGGAACGAACGTCTCGTTTCTTCGACTGACATTTGGAAAGAGAGGTGTTAACCTTTCCACACAAAATCCATTAGCTCACCCATGGTTACGCATAAGCACCTTATAGTTCAGCAGTAGAAAACAAACAGACTGCTAGGCTTTACAGTTGCAAAAGAAAAAAAAAACAGGAAAGGATATACACTTTAATTTGCATGCATGCATCTTCACAAATTGTCCTTATGTATTCTGGACCAACATTTGAAACACACCCAGCTTTTCCACCAGCTGTTGTTCGTAGATTACAGTAGCTCAGGTTGTCCCACCTCCCACACTATTAAGAAATTGGCACAACTTGTACGTGGCAATAGAAGTGAGAGATGGGTCAGTTTCATTACGTAGCTGTGATTGTAACACATCCACTCCCTTCTCATATCACTCAATAATCGGAACGCCAAGTTGGTAAATTATAATACACAAGTTTCTGAACAAAACACAGTCCTTACCCAAAGCTTGCCTTTGAGAGGGGAGCTATGCCTGTATTACCTAGGCAACCAGAACCTGTAACATTAGAATATTTTCGATTGCTTGTTTAAAGAATGTTTCAAGAGAGAATACCTCTCAGGCACTGACAATTGTTTATACAAATTTGCTATTTAAATGCCTTGAAAGTACAGGATATTTCATCAGGACAAATACAAACATCTACAGAACTCTTTCATAGCTTTGGGTAGCTTTTCTGAAGTAAAATGCAAAATCTTTGTTTTTTAGTTTGAATCTTAGCTCACTATTGTTTTCTTTAGAGGTCTGGCCTTGTGTGTGACGCAACAAGACACAATTCCTCATAAATGTTTCACTCACATCAGACAGTGGGACCCATTCTGCATGCGATCAACATTCACAGCCACGCTATCTTGGGAAAATCGTTTTTCCTGAACTTATATCCTTTATCCTTGAGGAACTCTTGCGAAATGTTCACTATTTTGTGTGGCAAACTTCCAATTCGTGAGACCAGGACAAGATTAATTTTTTTTTTGCAAAGCCTGAAAAAACGGAAAGCAAAAAGTACGAACTCAACTGCTGAAAATCAGAGGCAGAAATGTGCTTTGTCCAGTCGCTTGTATTTAACAAAGTATTTTACCCCTGCATGTTCAGTAGAAAGCATTTCAAAAACACATTCAGGCAGAGCAGTTTCAAACAAATCTGTGAACAAAGACATGTCAAAGAATGAAACGCCAAGACAACAACAGGCAAATAAACAAACAAACAAACAAACAAACAAATAAATGACTCTAGAAATTGTAAGACATTTCTACCAGAAACAAATGGCATCATACATGTCATTTAACAAATGCAATCACCTGACAGCATTCAACAGTGGAGAGCTGTGTAGTGTGTGGGAAACCAAAACTTGCCTGTAAGTACATACTGGCTAAATTCAGAATGTTATTAATAGCCAATCATGTAGAGCATTATTGGACAAAAACTGCAGTTGAATGCAATCCCATTATTCTAAGAGTTATTCATTTTGCCTGGTGAGAAGTCATAGAAAGGTGAAAAGAAATATTCAACATGTTTTATGGTTACCATTACAATGCCTTTACTGGTTCAGAACTATTAATTGACATAATGGGATCTGAAGGACTGAATAGTGTTTTTTCCACAAAGTCAGCTTGGATCAGGAACATTCAACTTACACCCTTTTCAGCCCTCTTCAACACATCCAGCTTGAGAAAATAGTTTTTTAGAAAACCAGCACCTTAAAAGTTATAGCTATCCTGCTAATTTATGAATTAAATAATGACAATGCTAGTTGCAGGAGCATTCTGCTATAGAATGAACTGGAAAGGCCAGAGATGTAATGGCCATGTTATGATGATAATCATAGCACATCTCTGCCAGACCACATTTAAGTAAACTTAGTGATTCCTTAAGGAACATTAAGAATAAGGTCACGCTTAAAGGAAAGAAAAAAGTTTTCATTTAAATGTGATAAATCAAAAGTGATATTTGTTTTGACTCTAGTCATTAACCACTGTTCGGCTGCAATTTACACAATGCCGTAATTTCAGACTGACACCTTGGTTGCCAACAGAAACAGACTAGATATTGTAAACCACTTTAGCCATTCCTTGCCATGTACTGTAAATACTTCTCTAGAGACTTAAATATAATTTCATGATGATGTAAAAAAATGGTTTGCAATGGGTATTTTTTACAGAAGTCTCATTTTGGCTTGTCATTAATATACAGACTTAAAAAATATATTTGGCATGGAAAGAAACTACACGATGCAGCTCCCTCTCTCACCCCTCAAAAAAAGAAAAGATCTAAAATGATTATTTCCCTCCTTTTTGGTTAATTTTTAGTTGTTCCAGTCTTACTGTCAAGTTATGAAATAAGATCAGCCTAGACACAAATGTGTGTGAAAGTCATTTCTTTTAAAATGTAGCTTGATTAATTAGTATACACCTGGTTTGGATGAAACCCAAGAGAATATAATGGTTCCCAGTTTGGTCTGTGAGCCTATAGGGCACACTGCAGCTCTGCAGGCTTTGACGCAGTTGGGCATCTTTCTCTGCATCAGCACCAGGTTGTATTAGCACCCAGAAAGATTGACCACTTTGCCGTCTGACCTGGAATTTCTGTGCTGTCAGGTTGTGAGGCACATTTGCAAAACATTCTGGGAAAATTGTAGAAAGGTATGCTCACCAACCCTTAATCGTGGTTGGAAATTATGCTCTTCGAGTAATGGGTTCATGCTTTTCAAGGGAGTCTGATTATAATTACACTAAACCATCTTAGAACCAATCCATAGTGGACCAACAATTATAGTCCATTATAAGTTGTCCTGTATGTTAGTAGAGACTTTCACATGTTCAGCACCAGTGTAACCAATATATATTTATGGAAACAGGTTTTCTTTTTTAAATAATCAAAACAGGGGTTTCCTCCTCCAGGTTGGTTAATACTGCTCAGGCTAAATGAAACAATTGTGAATCCTATAATCAGATGTCTTTCATTCAGCAGCACACAGTGTTCAACAGAACAGTAATCAATCCAGATCCAACCAGGCCTGTAGTGAACCAACACTCAACTCACACTGTGGGATGCTGTCTCATACATGATCAGTTCTTTAAAAAATGTACCAGTTATCAGTATTATTCCATCATTATTAATAATATTAGAACTTTCATCATCAACACCATGATTATTATTTATGTCTTTGTTTCATTGTAATTATTTAGATTTACTGTACATATATTTTTTTGCAGTGAATAGCAACAGTCTGGCCATGACCAGCAATTGACAGAGTAAGGCTTGACTGTACTGTTGGCTTAAGTGGTGCTTTAACCAGACTCACAGTTAGCACCAATGTTAACTCATTGATACTGAGGACTCCCCTTCCCCCTCTCCCCTGTCTTGTTCCATAAAGCTACTGGCCTCTTCCTGCATGGGAGTTGGATTCACCATTGTGGACCTGCCGCATAGTGGCATTCCCCATTGCCTCTCCAGCGACAAATACAGTATGACCCTTTCGCAATATGTTGAGAAGTCGGGGCAAATAATTGTAAGCTGGTTTCTCATACGGTAAAGACAGAGGAACCGAAATCTTGCGAGTCAAAAAAGAAAGCAAAATACGATGTCTTCCCCTTCTTTGTTTGGTCTCGGTTTGCTTCAGCTGATGCTACAGACAGGATTGATTGACAAGACTGTGTGTAAAAGATTCTACTTTTAAGTAGAGCAACATCCCATTTTTATGCATTTCAAATTTGAAAGATTAAGTGATACAAAAACATTGCAGACTTTCCACTCATTTCTAGCACCTACTGCTGTGAGACAAACGTCTTCCCATGCTCTTATTGTCTTTTCATTAGTGTTGATAACGGGAGCTAAGGGAAGATTATATGTAGGGTTGACATTTAATATAGCAGAAAATGTCATAAAAGCAGTTCCAGACAATCTATCAATTCACTTGAAATAATCACAAATAAAAAAGATTTTCACAAGCTAGTCATTGTTTTTAAGGCTGTTATCCTCAGCCATTTTGCTACTGTATTTTAGCCATCTACACTTTGATCACAGCTTTTTGTTTTTGAATAAGGATATACCATTTATAATATGCTTTTTTCATTAACTGACATTACAATGGTTTGGCCCAAACTGTAAACTTTTAGTTAACAAACAATTGGATTGTATCAGTCACAAAATCTACAATAACCCGAAAGTAAGGCAGACATATAAACTTGGTTATAAAAAATAAGTTACAAGACATGGCCACTGAGAAAAAAAAAAGACAAGTCTGCAAACCATTACCATACCGAAGCAAACCAACCTACAACCCTTTGCATATTAATAATGCAGTGCTACAAAGTCAACTCAACAAAGACGCGCGGGCTTCATGTCAAACACTGCTGAACTGCAAAATAATTCTTTTTCTGCTACAGCCAGTAAAGAAAAACATACAGTATACAAATCTGACTGGCACACTCTTCTGCAGCAGTTTCTTCAGGTTGCTTTTGTACACTCTCTGGCCTTATTGTTGTCTGCAAATGTGCCCAATGTGCCTGGATACGGTACGCTGGCGTTAAGCCTGTGAGGTCAACAGCCCCTGACCCTCGTCTGCGTGTTAACTTCCGGGTTTATCCTTCCTTGTAAAGGATGGGGTGCCTCTCATCAGGTCTTAGACCTCAGTGAAGACTGGTTACACTGTGGTCTCGTACTCCATCACTTCCTTGGGCGCACTGATACTTCTGTACTGCAATCGGGGCGTAACAGGAGAAGTAGATTCCAGGGCGAGGATAGTCTTGCGGAGCCTCCTGTCAATGAAATGGGCATCCCAGGCTGGGTACCGTTTTCTGGGCAAGTCTATCCTAATGACTGGCCCTTCTGTCCGGGGGGTGCGAGGAACTGGAGTAGGAGGCACACAAGGCCTAACTTGGAAAACGGGCAGACAGCTTTCTCTGTCTCCTGGTACCAGTTCCCTGTCCACACCCATAGTCCTCTGCAGGGGCCTGGGGGGGCTTGTGACAACATCAGGGGGTGCTGCACAAGGTTCTGGCCCTTCCTCTTCCACGCAGCCCCACTGCGACCCAAATATCGGTCCATTCGGGTGCAGGAGGCAGTAGTAGATGAACATGAAGAACATTCCAAGAGCGAAGCTGCAGACCACCACACAAACTATGATTAAGGCGCAGAAGTCTGTGGTCTGCGGACCCCGGTACAGATACCAGAGCACCGTCAAGGCAGCGTTTTCAGAGAGGGTGATGAAGTAGTAGATTAACATACGGTAGCGGCTCCGCCCTTCCTTCACATTGAACCAGCAGAAGATGTAGATGATGCCCACCACCATGTTGTAGATGATCTCCTCCCATTTGGACATGCAAAAGTCTGTCTCACCCTGGATAATCCAGAAGGTCATGATGCACCAGTGGGTGACGATGAAGATGCCAAAGTAGAGCTGGAACACAGAGGCAAAGAGAGCGAAAGCGATGGTTCGGGCCCCGATGGTGAAGAGGTGCCACAGCATCTGAATGATGACGGCCTTATAGGACATGGCCATCTTGTCCTCACGGGAATCGCGGAGGACCTTCTGGTAGGAGGCAATCATCCATGCCAGCGAGACCAGAGAGGCCGAGGCTGACAGGCCTACATCGGGGGAAGAAGAAAAAGTGTGAACTCCCCTGGGACCGCCTTTTCACTTTCATACGACTATCATCTAGGTAGCTTAAATGCACTTCAGCTCAAAATGATCCATTGGATCGAAAAATCGTTTTGTTTACCACTTATTGTCAGCAAATACATGTGATTCCTGTGATTCCTTAGTCTTGGGTCAAAACATCAGTCTGTGTTTTAAGGTGTAAGCAGCACACACTACATTTTTAATACAAAAGGTTAATGTTAACAGCATATGCAATATTCCTGATTTAAAAAGACTTTTTGGCACCGATACTGATATTATTCCCTTCAGCAGGATGAGCTTACTTGCAGTATTTTGCAGAATTAAAAACTTTTCATTACAAATGACTTTTCATTACAATTGTAAGAAGTATTTGTATTTCAGACACATCCTGCTGTGGATTTGGAGAAACATTTAATCACCATTTTATTTTTTCCTACAGAAAAATACTGCAAAATAGTAAACATTTAATAGGAAAACTAGACTATTTCTCTTTTACATAATGTGATCTCTGTTGTTCTTCTTTGTTTGGAGGGACTTGAAAACTGTCCATTACCAACATATTTTATTGGACACAGTGATCAGGGCTAGGTTCACACTGTGCTTGAGACAACCCCATGGTGAGCTACAGTGACTGCTAGGCTCCATAATAGTTAAATATTCAAGAGGTTTTGAGGCTTAACATCTGTCCCTTTCACACAAAAATATTATCCTTTTAAAATCTACAGTGTGTTTTTATTGGTACTCTTTAGTGTCATTACGCCTGAAGTAAATGCGATGGAAATACTGTATATTGTGTTTTCCCAACTTCAGATGATGGCATGATGAACTTTAACCATTTTTGTTTATTTCTGCTCAAACCTTGAATTATCTGAAAAATTAAAAAATGTAATTTATAATGCATGCATTTATATGTCAAAATACAGTATATTCTGCTACATGCATGCAATATTTTATAATGTATATAGCGTGCAGGAATATTGACTACACTAAGACAATGCACAATTAGCATAACCCACACTGTAAGAGACCATTTATGGACATCTGAAGTTTTAAGCTCATGACTGTTCTTTCTGCACGGCAAACAGACAGATCTCACTAGTTTTACATTTGCGGCTCATGATGAGAGGGCTGGAGAGAGCTGAAAGCAGATGTCTTGAGGTCAAATTTACAGCTGGTGCAGGCATTGCAACAGAAGAGCAGGTGGTGTTTTAGGTTTGGTTCCTCTATGGTTTCTAGATAACGGCCCAGTAGTAAAGAAGAAGCAGAGTAGACAATTGAGTCCACCTGAGTGCACAAGCATTTCAGTCCAGCAGAGGTCACCCAAGATTGTTTCCCATCTGCCTGATGTGATCATAATGTACCTGGACCCCTTGTGTTGATGACTACCCAATACCCCTGCAGCATGATGCGATATGTAAGTCAGCAGAACTTCATAAAAATGTTCAACATGAAAAAGCCAACATGTGGATCTGATAAAATAGCAACAGCACAGTGATACTGGAACTTGTGGCACTATTTCTCTGTTAAGGTTAAAGCGAGGAGCTCACTAAGTATACTAAGACCCAATGGTACTATTTGTAAGAATAGGGGCGTTAACCCCCATGTCCTGGATAAAGTCTGTTTTGGGCTTCCACAACTTGTTGGTGTAAATGATGCTGACACATCATTTACATCTTCTAGGCAAATTGAGGAAGCACTTAAATAGAAAAAAAATGTTAGGATGCATATTTGAAAGTGTAGAATGTAAATCAAAGGATGCTATGCAAAATTTTAGTAGGGGCAAGTGAGCTGTCATTTAGAATATTGTGTGCAATTTTGGACATTGTGTTATGGAAAAGATTCTCCTGCTCTGCAAGCAGTCTAGGGAAGATCAACCAGACACATTCTGTGGTTTAAGATGTCCTACACTGACAGGCTGAAGGAAATGCATTTTTGAAATGAGCTCAATAAATTTAATCTTGAAGATAGAGAGGATTATGAGGGGTCCTAATACAAGTATTCAAAATCCTCAAAGGCACTGACAAAGTCAACTCAGCTGATTGTTTTCAAACACAAATAAAAGGACATAAAAGGAAAGGGTGACGGAATGCATTTAAGACGGAAAACAGGATGCCTTTCTTTGCACAAAGGTTTGTGGGAGTATGGAACAAGCCACCCAGCCATGTCATAGAATTTGGTACTTTGGCTTCTTTAAATAAATGGTTGGATGAAAGTTACAGTATGTAACCTAGCATCTCTAAAAGTTTCATCTTAATTTAATTGGAGAAGACATTTCTCACCTCCCTACTTGATATACTGTGCAGTGGGGCTGCTAGCACACTGGTAGTGGATGAACCAGGTTCTACATTTAAAGTATTTTTGGGATGAAAAGCACTACTGAAACACAATCAACCTATACTGTTACAACAATGATTATTTTCACTGCTAATACTCCTGTCTCCTTCTGTTATTAGCGTTAGTAATAATTTAAAATGAATAACACAGTTATTTAGTACCCTTCTACAAGGGATTTGTAGTACATTTGATTTATTAAATTAAAAAAAATAATTAGGAACATTGATATATTAAGATCTATAATACTGTATGTTTCTTGTTGAGTTGAATGCATTTGTTTCAGGACTATTAATATTAAAAATTCAATAGAAAATATTTTCAGTCGGATCAAACATTGAACTGCACATAGATAAAAGCTAAATAAGTTATTTGTGAATGCCACAGACTTAAACCAGACTGAAATGCTAGATGTAAACTGTTGTCACTGCCTTGCTCCACTCTACAAGTCACCTCAGAGATAGCGCTGATTGCAGGAGTGATGTACCTCACACAGGCAACACTGCATGGCAAGCTGTAGAGATCACTGTTGCATGACATGCTGATGACATCATAGCTAATGACAGGGCTTAGGACATAACTTTCAAGTGAAGCCAATTCTTTTAACTAGTTGAGTGAATAGGGACTTAACATTGGTAAACAGTGACACTTTCAAGATTAATGCCGTGAAATCACACATTGTTACTAAGCATTCAGTGTTTGCCAACATTGTCTGTGAGAAGCCTTTTTTGTTTTCCAAAGCTGTTAAATTACTCTGCAGTAATTTCTGATCCAAACCTGATTGAGCTTGGTATCCCTAGCAAAAAAGAGCTAGGCAAAAAACTCTTCTTTCTAAAATTGACTGGTCAAACTGCTGAGTGTTTTACTGAATTTAAAGTCATCATAAATATTTTATCCAGTTCCTTTCTCCCATCCATTTGGAGGAAAGCCAGATTAAGGAACATCTTAATTAGCTGCCTGGCTGAAAGCATTAGTCAATACTTCAAACTCTTTGGCTACAGTTTCGACCGAAGTGTGTTCAAGCCACGGGGACAGTACGCATGACAATCTTAATTGAATCTAACATCAGAGGGAACAGATCACACTAGCATAAAAAAATACAGGAAATGCTATCACCCACTAGGTTTAATCTGCAGCACAATTACTTTCTTACCTGCATTTAATGTTCAAACTCAGAATTTAACTGGTGGATAGAAGTGGGAGTTTGAAGAGGGAAGAGAAGGGTGATTTTTAAAAAATCTCTTACAGTAAAAGGAGAAATTTGGCATGCCATGCAGTCTGCTTACGCCTAGAAAAAAGAGGAGGTGTAACGTCCATACATATTGACTTTTTCATGAATGAAGCACTGGGAGGACGTACAAAAACAATCCAGCGTATTTTTTTAATTTCCAAAGGGATAATGTTCCTGGAATGGAGTGAAAAAAGTCTGGATGGATGAGACAAAAATTTAGTTGTCAGCACTTTCAGATGTGAATAGGAAACTAGAATAAAAAATAAAGAGAAAAATACATTTTAAGGAGTCTCTGTTCTTTCAGCAACTCCTAAGGTCCAACACTGACCCATTTAGATCGAAGTAGGCTGTACACGAGTCTTCTAATGCATTGCAAAATATGAGTACAGAAATAAAATTTTAAAAATCAGACATTCAGCCCTTACTTACCACAGAATTTAACTAGCATGTTGAAGTGGTACAGTTTATTCTAGAAGTGAATGTTCTGACCTCCAGTAACACTCACTTTAGCCCACTACTTTGTGCCATTTTTTTGTATGTAGTTGCTTGGCGGTTCCTGTTTACTGGTGTGTGTTTAATAATAATATTGATTTTATTTTTAACCCAATCTGAGCAATTTTCACCCCTTGCAGAAGACCATGACTTCAAAGAGAAGTCTATGAGCTCTATAGTTTTAAAGCCTTGAGGGAAATTTAGCCTAAAAGCTGGAAAGTACTGAGTTAGCAGTACTAACCCTAGGCTGCAGTCTAGACAAGACTGTCTAGGCTGCAGTCTTGTCCCTTAAGGAAGGTGCTTGTGGCAATGGTCAGTACGTCAATCAAGACAAGCCCTGGGAATGGCAGTGTCTGCAGAAAATTACCGGGCAAATCGAACCTGCGGATACGTGTAATGTGACAACCCGCAGATATTTGCAGGGGCCTAAATCAAATAAAACTGGGAGAGAAACATTCCTCTATGAGATGAGCCATTGAACAATGTCACTTAAACAGGTCTTTAGGTACCTGAAAGCTGTACTGTAAATGGACTCTGGGTTTTATCTAACAGTTTTTTAGCTTTTTCACAAACTCAATCTAAATATGTTTCTCCCAGAATTCATTGCACCCCTTCCTGCATCCCAAGATCACCCTTACAGCAGCTCCTTGACTCATTCCACCTCGTGAGTCTCTTGGTCCTGCAGCACAGAGGGGTTAAAGCTAAAAAATGCTTCTCAAAGTATTCAGATGCTGAGATGCTTAATACTAGAGGTAGTTTGAAGCTGAATAATCCAAAAGTTTCGGTTTTAAGTGCATTCTTTTAAGCTGGTATCCCATAGCTTAGTGGTGATGTGGTTTGGGTTAGCAAGACAACTGCACAGCTACTGAAACAGAACTGACATCTTTTCCCTTCAGAAGAAATGGAGGTTAGATATGAGAAAACAAATGGAGATGTGCACAAAGACCATTTTAGACATTGCATGTCAGTTCTGAAAGGGGAAATGTTGGTCGAACCCAAGACTAACGTTTCACAACATACAAACTGCAGAGCTCAAAGGGATAGGTAGAGGGAGCTGTCTGAACACTGGAGAGGGTAGAGAGAGTGGGCAGTGTGGCACTTCTTTTCAGAAATAAATGGGATTGACTTTGAAGCCATGACTTACCCTCTTCTGAGCCTTATTTCCCTTTATTTAATATTCGGAACCTGTTACATGGCATCCCTGCCTGGGACCTGTTACATAATTAATACCCTAAGAATTAGTCTGTTGCTTTCAGAACATTGCTAAAAATGTTAATTACCAGAGCTTCTAAGTGCGGTGATTTCTTGTTGAGAGTTTCAATATTCTTTGCTTTTAAAGCCTAAGTTTGCCATCAATAAAGGTGGAATACATTTTGTACGCAGAGACACAACTTTCAAACCATGCATCTCTGCTTAGAAATGGGCATCAGGGTTACAGGCATCAGTGTCTACCCTAATGAAGACTGACTGTGCATTTTGTTTTTAGTTTAGGAGACCATTTCAGATTCTGAGCAGAGAAGGGGAGTAATATTTCATGAACTCATTATAGAGATGAAATGTGCTTTCATGGTATACAAAGGTTTCTGTCAGACCTTCCTGATGGGTTCAGCTTCGTTTACAATTACAGCTGGGGTGAGCGGATTGCAGAAAAAAGCGGATATACACCATTCAGCCTAAAAAAGGCGATAATTGCTGAAAAACACAAAAAATAAAATGACACAGAAAAGAACACCCTGTCAAAGCACTCGTCGATTCAATGTAGATCCCTAAAATAATGTTAAGGTTAATGGGTTCTTAGCTTACATTTTAGATCATAACATAAAGCTTCCATGACTCTCAAGAAGGAGTAACATTGAAAGGATTTTTTTCGTTCAATGGCACAGGCTTAAGACATGAGAGGAAGCAATGTTCCACCTTAGCTGAACTGTCAGCTTGCATGTGCCTAGACTGATGTTACTCCTGTTGAAGTCAACAATGACTTAAATGCAGAAGATAATACATATATGCTATGATGGATGGCAGACCTGATTATAAGTGACATGCAATGAATTTAGACTTATAAAGTATCTATTCACATAATTAAATTGTAAAGCGCAAAAAAAAAGACAAGCAATAAAAATACATGGGCACAATCGTCAGCATTGCTGCCTCACAGTGATGCAGCCCTGGGTTCAGTTCTGGACCTGGAGTGTTATTCGCATGGAGTTTGTACTGTATGTAAGTTATGCAGGAAGATAAGCTGGCTTCCGGGAAAATATACATATACCATTACGTCTTTGCAGTTCTTTTTATTCCTCACCCTCTTCTTGGCTTTTGCCAAGGAATCTCAGAGCAGAAAGCATTTGTCTCTGACTGTTTTTTTTTTTCGGTGTTAAAATGCCCATTACTAGTAAAACTCCCGTGTCCAGCTTACAGATGGTCAGTAGATCCTACTGCTGGAACACCAGCTGTGAGCCAAACTCCTCCACTCCAGGCCCATGTGTGCAACAGCTCCACACACTGCAACAGGCTCACTCTTCCATACTAGGGTTAAAAAGTGTGGAGTGTTCTTGGATAAAACAAGCTTTGTTAACACATTTGAGGAGTATTGCAACTTGTTGTATAAAGTGCCATTGGCAACCACTAAACTGCAGTGTTTAGCCAGTTTTGAAAATCTCAAAAGGTATGTTTTGCAAACCATCCTCTCTGAAATGATACCATTCTCTGAAGATGAAGGAATTAAGTAAAGTAAACACTGTCGGGTGAACCTGTCTGAAAGCTCTATTTCTGCAATCCAGCTCTGTTTCGGTTGATAGATGTATCCTTCCCAATTACTCATGCTGTATGCAAAATATGGAAATAGGGCATTTTATACAGTACGGTATACATTACCTGTCAGCATTGATTATTGTTGAATTGTCTGGATCTTAGAGACAATTGCCTTTGCATGAAATGGATTAGAGCACACTGTTTATAGATGAGAGTATTAACTGGGCTGTAGGTGGTCAGATGGCTCCTGGACAGGGAGCAGTTTAAACATTTTGGTTTTTAAAATGGCCTAACTCCAGCTTTGTATCCACCAAACCAACCCTGTCTTTCCTCTTCCACTATTGAGGAACATTTAACATGTTTTTAAACGGTGTCTAAATGCACAAATACAGTGTGCTTATTAATGCTAATCAATATCTTTCATTTTTAGATTTAAGTTAAAACACGATTCTGAATGAAATTCATCTTTTCCTATAGGATGATGCTGTACTGCAGAGTTGGTCTTTTCTTACATTGCCCTAGCATTGTTTTTCTCTCAGTGATGAACAATGATAAATATTTTTGTGCAATCAGAGTACGCATGGAGGAAAAAGGAACACAGCCATGTCAATACCTGATTTATTATTCTGCTTACACGTAAAGCAAAGGAAGGACATTTTTAGCCAAATTTCCTTTCTTTTGGTTTGCAAAGCAAATCTACACCAAGTCTTGTTGCATTTATTCAACACAGCAAATGTTTGGTTTAACAACATTATTTTAGCTTCAAGTGTCTGATTTATGACTTCTTTTTATTAAGAAAAGTGGTTACTGCCCTTGTTCCATTTCTATTCCTACTATAGAAGTGAGCAACATTGGTTAACAACTGGAAACACCTTTGGCAGTGAATAACATGAATTAATTGATGACTCTTTTTTTTAAATTTGAAAACTGTAGCCAGAAGCTTAAATGCAGAGTCACACATTGCATGGACAGGATGAAATGTATAAGAGAGAGGTTTCAGACGAAAGGACAACACAGTTAAAAATGCAAAATTATGCTGTCTTACCATCCTTGTATTTTCCAATAATAGAGACCTATTACTTGCCTTCCCCATTATTTCCTTGTAGATATATCTATTGCAGCTCTATAATAATTATAGTTACTTTGCATTGTAATTATAGAGCCGTTAATTTAATGTTAGCAGGAAAATTGCTATTTACTTGGCTCAATCCATCTAGCAAATAATGCTTCTGTTGTCAAATAATGGTCCATTAAGACCTTAGGATAGTCCCTGCACTAATATTATCCTTAGAAATTAAAAATACCAGTACTGAACAACCTAATTTCAGCAATTTAAATCTTGGGCAGTTATTCTTTGAAGGTGTTCAAAAGATGCTTCAGTGCACAAATGCAAAATACAAAGATAGTGCTGAATATTTTAGGGACTATATTTAGATTGTTAAAATTTATTATGTCTGGCCTCGCACTTTGTACCAGCAGAGACCCTCTAGGAATAAATCAGTCACTAAAAAGAATGAGTGGAAGGATAATCTGAATGATTAAAAAACAAACCAACTGCATTGTAGTTGTTGCCGACATACTAAGAAAACTCCCTCCACTCTATATAGAAAGTAGGATGAAGGATTGTGTATTAAGCAGCTGTTTTAGAAGAAATGTAAGGTACCTTTACTGAGCACTGGAAAAGGTTTTGGCATTAGATTGACATCGGTATAAGCAGGTCTCAAAACAAGCAAACCAACAGTAGTTGTTACTTTGAAAAGCCCAGATTTAGTGATGGCTCTCAAGCAGTTGAACCAATCAATTTTATTGTGTGGATCCCAAGGGATATTATGGGCCTTGTAGTTCAGAGTTTGCTTGTTTGAAACTGGGCTATGCAATTAGATGGCTAAAACTGGGATTCCCCACAGAAGCATGAAAGCAGCACACAACTAGTCCTCTGCTTGAGGTGGCCAGGATGGACAATTGCTAACTCACAGTGCCAGTGTGACCGTCGCGGTTCCGCGCGGGCCCGTGCCGATTCGTCCCGCAACATCTGGGCGCAAACCCAGGTGTCCAGCGTAATGCAACAGGGAACCAGCCGAGTGAGCTAAGGGAGACCTCCCCAAGCCCAGGAGGCTGAGGTCCCTGCTATGCGCAGGGAGGGCCATGACGTCACCACGCCGAACTAGCTCCGCTACCCCAGCGAGCTTGAGAACAGTCAATAGACAACACAGACCAGTGAAAACTTGCACAATCCACCTTATGGTGATTTAAGAACAAGAATGTAAGAACATAAGTTTACAAATGACAAGGAGGCCAGCTGGCCCACATAGCAGAGAGTCCAACTGAAAAAAAGTTTGTGATTCTGAACGGGCGGAGAATGGATTTTGAAACATTTATCAAACAAAACACAAACTCAAATGCAGAGCTATTTACAGTCAACCATAATCAAATGGACAGAAAAGCTAACCAACCTTATGCCTGGTGCACAAGGTGTTGCCGACAGTTACCCTAGTGCACAGCAATGCAGAACCATATGTTAAATACTATTATCGTCACATATTCTGGAGTATCTATTAGATTAGATCTTTTTCCCACTGCTTTCTTTTAATAATATAAGTTCTTTCGTGTATACATTTTTAACTTCACGGCTTCTCGTTTCTGGCTTCAAGGATGGCTTGAGCTGAGCCTTTTGGAACTGTCGGGTCTTTTCATTATTAATCGCCCATCCCCATGACTCTGCAGACACACCCACCTGTCAGAGGCTTCACATTTTGACATGCTGGAGGCTCCACAGTGCCTTACAGCAAAGTGAGTGCTCATCTTGATGAAGCTGCAAGTCTGCAATTTGTCAACAAGTCGGCTAACAGCCAGGAGGACCGGGCAGACTAATGTTCATCCCACCCTCGTAGTTGTCTGTGAATGGTGTATAGTGACACTGGTTCGAATCAATCATATCTCTGCCAGAGAGCTCTGCCTGCACTTTTCACTAGCTGAGATGCCCCTCTCCCGAGAAGGGTGTTAAATGCGCGGATGAAGAAACTCTCCCTGCGCTTACCCTGCAAGGGCTGGATCTCGTTGCCCTGAATCATGATGCTGAGCTGGAGGACCAGCTGGGGGGCGCTCTTCAGGAATGTCTCCAGCAGGCGCAGCATGTTGATGTCCGCGCTCTCGAACATCATCCGCCAGTAGAAGTGCTGCTGCTCGTGCTGGCCACGCCAGCGGCTCAGGACCCCGAGGTACAGGGAGTGCAGATACCTGGAAAAAAAGGCGTCCACTGTATTAGCCTTCCCCATAAACTCAACAGACATGAAAATGTAGACGCATTTCTCTTCCTTCATAAACTGTACAAAGTAGGCGTAATATAGCTCAGAACTGCAGATACCTCAATATACTATAAAGATCATTTTCAGCTATTTTTTTTAAAGCTGCTACTTGACCATTATTCATTTCCTGAAGGAAACCAGTGAACAATCTGGCCGGGCAGCTTGGTCCATATTCTCACATCCTGGAGAGTAAAGAAGTGCCCCTCTTCTCAAGAAGAATGTGCTGTCTGTGTAATTACACAATCAGTAATGGTCAGAGGGGAGAGAGGCACCACAGGCAAGTAACGAAGTAGGGAGCATATATACGTTCCTCATGTGAGCCAGGGATGAGTCCATAGGGGACAGTTTAAATATAGGCTGTATGTCTTTGGGAAGTGTGATGAACCTGGAGCTGCTAATAAAAACTCATGCAAACTAAGGCAGAACACACATATTCCACACAGACAGGTGCCTTTGGCTGGAATTGAGATCCTGGATCCATGAGGCAGCAATTCAAACTACCATGTCATCATGCCTCTAATTATACTTATCTTCCAAATCCTTTTAATGCCTGTGCCTTGATTGAATGCTTTCCCACAATGCAATTAAAGCCACCCGTAACTCCCTATCCTGCAGTCAGCAAGAATAACTTAACTCTGTCACGTTAACCAGCTTTAAAGTTTTCATGGATTGACATTAACTATAGCAACAGTATAATTCTCGGAAAATGAGGTCTTCATGAAAATTTCTACCAGCAGTGTTCGTCAGGCATGTCAAACAATGTTGCTATAGCAACATAGAAGTTTGAGTCGCACAGGCAGCAGCAGAGTAATGACTGAGTAACAGATGAAGCCTTTGTTCTGTGATTTGAATTGAATGATGCTGCTGTGTTGTGACCACGCATTATCCAGGAGCACAATTAAAGAGCTGGTACAGAGCAGGGAAGATTTTTTAGATATTCAGTGGAGCATCAGTGTCGGTTTTGCTTAAGCAAAAGGGTTTTGAGCCATTTCGGGTTACAGAATAATTCATATGAGGCACCTCACAACATAACTGTCAAAAATAAGAGCTGCATAGAGCCAATGCAAAACGGGAGGAAAAGATCCTGAAAAGAACTGTGCACAAAACTTCACCTACTTCACCTATTCAACAGCTCTTGAGAGCTCCTGTAAGTTTGTTCTTCACATGCTGCTTCGTGGGCAAACAATGATTCATTCTGCCTTCAAGAGCACACAGATTTTTTTAACACTTTTCCAGCTTCAGGATGACTCTATTACCCGAAAGGCAGCAGTTGTTTTGCTAAGCATGAGGAGCACATCGACACACTGGCAGCAGTGCAGACAGATCTCTAACAAAATCACATGCCAGCCGGTCTCGGTGACCACTGCAGAGCCCACTTCTAGGGACATTGCACACTCTAGACTCTAACTACTGTTTAACCATTCCCAGCTTATACTGTAAGTGCCACCTCAGCTCTCACACAGCTTGTAAAGTCTAATGACTCCACTATCCACAGATGGCTATACTCACAACCACACGTGCTGGCTAATAAAATGCATGGGCATTCTCTTGACTATGACTGAAGAAACGTCAGCTGGAAAAGGGACTGCATGCCCAGCTGAGGCTCCCTGTGAGAGCCCTGCTGTGTCATGATCCTTATGGTTTCACAAATTCACTGCCAGATTATTTATCCACCATGGGATAGAAGTAGGCAAATAAAAACTCACAGTCAGTCAATCAAACAGAGACAGAAAGCAAGCAAGGCCTAGAAGAGTCACATTCTCGGACACAAACTTCAGAATTACAATGAAGTGTGAAATGTCTCGAAACACAGAACATGGTATAAGAGTATTTGCTCTCCTTCCTTGCTGGTGACGGACAGCACACTATATTTGTTGGAGCTGTGTGCTTCTTGGTGGGTGGGAAAACGCAGAGGAAGTGCTGGCTGCTCTGCTGGGGCAAGATATCATCCTTTTCATGGGCTGAACACCTGTAGTCTCTGGCATCAGTCAACATGGGTCAATCGCTTTTGCTAGCTGAGCCGGTTTGGATCCACCCCCGTCAGAAATTCAACGCGCAAGTCAACATCCTGTAGTTCTGACTTCCTTATTCGCGACATGCATGAATGTTGACTGAGTGTGGTCAGGACATTAAATAATCATTCTGCACCACTATGGATGTAATAGAAACTTGAAGTATCTTTCATGCATATGTTAAGTGTCTCCAAACCTACTGAACCAATACTTAGCTTCCTTATTACAGTCCTGTAAGAAAATCAGATGGGTTGCGAGTGGGAGCTTACCCTCTGATATATTATGCCTGTCAGGTTGCTTGTACCTCACTGATCTGATGATCGCACCTCACTCTTTGTTGAAAGATTCCAAAGAATCAGCCTAATAACTGAACCTAGAAGTTAAATACGGATTTAAAACAGACAGGTGTTAAAAACAGAAAACATAAATGGGTTTCTACTTCTTTCAAGGCACTTGGGGAACGAAGACAAGCTTGAGGGACTGAATCCAGGTTCAAGCATTCCTGTATATAGGTACATCTAATGACACATTCATCAGTGCAGGGGTGGATAATTAATAATTCATCTTTAACATTTAGTTCAAATGTAATAGTAACTTCCTGTTAGGGCCTACTGGGAGTATAAATCATTCCTGGCTGATGAATGCAGTCTGACTGCTATATGCTTTCTGTCTTCTGATTAGTTTTATCACTGCCTTCAAGAGTGTCTTGCAATGACAGCCTACGGCACAAGTAATAACTGAGCCATTCACATACTTGTCATTTATTCTTTGGAGTAATTAGCACTTACTATCCCCAGAGGTGCCAGTTGTGAAGGACTGCGTCTGCTTCCTTCACTATCAAAGTGTTCCTTAGTTGCTCGTACTAAGAGATCCTCACGTGACAGGGAAAATCAAAGCCCAGAGAGGTAAATCTATGTCACCGTTTTTTGAAAATCAATGTGCACCTTGTCATAGCAAATGGCATAATTTATGGCTTACTGCCACCTGTGGGCAATATCATTCACCGAATAATAAAAAATAAGCTCTAAAACTATTGTCTCAACATTCAAGTGTACCAGCTGAGTGTAAGATGGTGAAACAGTCTTGTGCTAAAATAATTACAGCACAATTGGTTCAATAATTTTTTCTCACTTTCAAAATAGTAAAATAATTAAAAGAAATCAAATATCTTTTTCTGTTATGAATCTCTTACACCAGTCAGAGATCAGCCCACATGCACAAATATTCTCAGCTGAAGGTATTTGACCATCGTGCTGGAGAAACCTGTAAGTGCTACAAACCATTGGAATGAATTAGATTGGTTCTGACATGGTAGTGGACGCGATTATAATCCTCCTTGTCACAGCAGTTGGATGACCATGCTTAAGGTTTGACAATTTTCTGGTTCAGGTTATTAGGCGAAAATCGTATTTCTATCTTCCTCTTCTTTTCGTACATGGAAGTTCTTAAGATCATATACTGTACCAGGAATGGATTAAACTCAGGATTACAGTGCTGGTTAAATTGCTAGTGATATGACTTGGCAAAGGTACTGAACATGTGGCTTGAACAATTATTCAGCAAGTCAGGTCTCACAGAATGTAACTTCATTTTGAATTTCTTGTGAGCACAATTTCCAGTGACATACTGTGTAATCTTCTAAAGTCAAGTGCTTTTGTAGCCTCAGCATAGTTTTCTTCACAACCTCCTCCGGTTTCTAAAAAACCACATCCAATGCAACATCTACCATCAAATGTTATATTATAACAAGTACAGGTTGAAACTCCCTTCCAGAATCTTTTAACAGCTGTCAAAACAACCCTTTCAAACCAATCTTACAAATGTATCCTATGGTATTTTAAGATTCAGTATTTTTCCTATTATATATTTCCTTTTATATATTTATAGTTGCCTTGAAATCTCATGAAACACCATGGAGCCCCATCAGTGTGAAGCACTATGCACTTAGAAATAACATGTACTGTACTACTCATGTACTGTACTACTCAACAGTTACATACAGTAGTTTGATTTATCTGCAGGATAGCTGTTTTCTGAAAATAGGCTTTGTAGGGCTGAAGACCTCTTTACCCACTGAAGTAGTTGAATAATGTAGCTCCAGTAGATCTGATGTAGTGCATCAGAGTTGTGCAGTGGGTTGAGAAGTACCTCTTGTCATATAACTACAGGGATGGCTGAGGCACAGATTAAGGCATTTCATCCAAGAACGGTTTATTAGGACAAGCACACTTCAGTTTCTCAGGCTCATGCACAGGGATTCCAGCCTTCTGACTTCTGTTGCCAGACCCACAAAGCTAACCCCTGGAGGATCACCTTCTGCATAAGGTCAATTAGCTGTTGAAACCACAGAGACCATATTGGCAGGACTTTTATGGCAGCCTATGCTACCATATTTGTAAGATAAAAAACAATCTTGAAACATACCATGTCATACTGTATGTGCATAGTGTCTGCCTCTTCGTGGTCAGTGCTAATATGAACCCATGCCTGAACAATCAAAAATGACAAGATGAACAGCCACAAGCTCCCCCTCTGCGCAGCCCTGTCATATGACATCACACAACCTGCAATTACTATCTCAACTACAGGCATGGTGTAAAAATAAATAGCAGGAACAATGCAGAAGTATTTTGCATTGAAGATTAAGTCAATCCTTATTCATAACATGTCATCAATGTTCTAGGGATTCGAATGTTCCAGAGCAAAAAGATTTGCATTTGGTTATCAGTGATGACAGCTGAAAACACAGCTGGTGTAGATCTATAAAAGGACTGTGGCTGGATCACTTGTTCAGGCTGTCAAAAGACTGTTACATTCCTATATCTTTTTGGGTATTTATTTTATAAATTTGATACCCTGGGAATTCAGCCATTCAGTTTCATGGTTCACTTTTTACAACAGCTTGTAACAACTTGTTTTT